GGGGCGTCAGACTCCGCCCTCTCGCGCAGATAGTTCGTATCAGGGCCCCCGCTCACTCGGCGTTTATCGCTGCTCCTCAAAGGAAAGAGGCCCCTTCCTAGTTGTGGAGCAATAGCACTGCCCAAAGAGCAGGCCGGCATGGGTCCTCACAAGAAGCGTTGTTCGGTTTGGTTTCGCGGTTATCTTAATGTTCGGAACATTTGCGATAGAAGTTGCTGTACAAGCAAACAAGTGTGTATAAATGTTATGTAATATGTCTCTCTTTCTTTCTTTCCTTATTCCTTTTTTTCTTTTTTTCTTTCTCTCTCTTACGTTCTCTTTCTCTCTCTCTCTTCTCTTTCTTCATCTCTCTGTATTTCACTAGGGATTTCAAACGGTGTTTACTTTAAAGCAGATAACAAAATCAAACAAATGCGCATCTTTGGATCATATTAGTGTTCCATAAGCTCTATTCTAAAAAAAGTACTTTTTTGATCCTTCTATATACTTTTTTAGACCTTTAGCTCTTCTGGGTACCTCTGGAAAAGACAGAAAACGGTAGAATCTCGTAATCTATCTAAAATGAAATGGACTTTTTGATATTCTGTGGAATTTAATCTAACACTAGTAGCAATAGTAGAATGCTTCCTACCCACAATACAGGTCTTATGATGGATGCTGTAATGTAAAATGCAGTGACTGGTCCTTTGACGATGGATTCCAGAGCGAAATTTATTCAATTTTAAAACGATGATTTATAATGTGCAGACCTTTCGTATAGATCCAAATAGTAAAATTATAAGGTTTCGTATCTAATTTATTTACTGAAAGCTATGGAATTTTCATACACACCATATTTTAACGGAACAAATATTATATAAAAGCAGTCAAAAGTATTTATTCGAGTTTGTCTAGTCTGTTCCAGAAGTATCATATAATGTTTTACGTCCTTAGATTCTAGAAAGGAATTCAGCAGAAGATCAATTGACCAGAATATGGTGGTGCATCGTACACCTCTTTCATGTAGGGCTAAGACCAAGGAAAGGTCCCTTGCTCGAAACATACATAGTACTTGTTCGAGATCTCCTGCAGAACAGTTAAAATAGCGATGTTGGATTGTTGTTACCCTTGTTCGTGTTCCTCTCGGATTTTCAAGCGTTTCTTAGTTTTGTAGCGGTGCCTTATCTCGAACACTTTGAATTCCGATTAACGTGAAGATGCCGCTAGGAACGACTTCGACATTTCCATTGATTCGACATGTTTTATCTGGATAGAATATTTGACGGAGCTGAAAAATTGACGTTTAGTCGTATCTTTCCGACCATTATCAGCTTAGTTGTGTCATTGCAAATTTACCGTGTGCTTGATGCAACTGTACTCTTGTGCCTACAAAAACTTTTACCTTCAGTTTTAACAGTACTTTACTGGGCACAGGGCTTCGCTCAGTTTAGGTCAACTGCGAACTCCTATCCCCCAGAAAATCAGGAGATGGCTGCTTTCATTCCTGGCAGTTTAACGTGCGCCATTGCCGCCGCCTTTTCTGTATAGATGGTTCGGTTAGCTTGAAAACCTCTGGCAAAAACACGCTGGTTTCTCCATAGCGGAGAACCCTCATAGATCCCTGAACATCACGCCGGGGTGACCCTTGAGACCACTGCTCTCATGTAAACGTATGGGGGCTAAGGTATCCCCTGTCAGTTATCAGTGCTTGAATTATTTCATGGAGGAGGGAGCCAGTCCGTTAGTGCACAAAATGTGCTCCACAGCACACTAGTTACCGGTAAGGGCAAGTCATTAAATTTTATAGGTGATATATGAAGGTCTCCAAATGTCTCCAAAGCCTCAATTTGAAATCATCCATGTCTTACGTGGACGAGATTCGAACCCACATACCTGGTGTCCGCCTTCTTGGGCGCACCTGTATAGAGTTTCTGTACCCTTCAGCCGGCTACCCTTGTTCACTCTTTACAGTTACAATACATGTACTTTACTTTACTACGCTCTGCCAGATTATATTAAACAATTGAAGTCGGTTCCCAAATTGAAGTGAAACGTAAAATCTAATCTGCTGCATAACTGCTTCTATACAATTAGATATTGTACTGATTATCAATAAAGAAAAATAATGTTTATTTTAACAAAACAGTGATATATAATGAATTTGTTTACATTCGTAATGTAAATTTTTTTAAAAGACTTAATATGTTTGTAACAAATAATGTACTACAGCTTCCGGGTCAATGACCCTCATCTCGATCAGGTTCTTGTCCAGTTTCCCTGATCCATTGAGCAAATGCTGAGATGGCCCATTGTTTTGCTTCTGGACGTAAATGTAGCTTCACTATGCGCACGTTTTGTTGAACTCTCCTTTTGCTTGTAATGGTAAGAGTAGAGGTGAGGGCGAGTAGCTATTTTGTTAGCAATGCATAAAAATCATTCTTGCAATTCGTATACCGATGCAAAATGACTATTTTTCAAATATTACCAATCTCGCTCTTTTCTAAAATTTATTTTTAATTCTTTATTTATTTTAAACGTTTTCTCTTGTTTCAACCATTTGTAGTGAAAATGAAGGGAAGGGATTCTGGAAGTCAAGAAAACGTGCGTAGATAATCTTCCCCCACCCCCTACGTCACATACAGTTTTTACTGTTTTTCTTTTTTTACTTAATAAATCTAAATCTAAATCTACAGGTCTATTTTGTTTACAAAGATATATTTCCGGCGAAACGAGAGAGAACTCTATGGTTGACGGCGATGGCGAAGCCGCCTCACGGGCGGCAGTCAGCCACAGCGAGCGTGGAGGGACGTCGCCGGCGCGTTGGGCACTGGGAAGGAGAAAACAAAACAAAACAATCGAACTCTCCTCCCGGCGCCCGCTCGCGACCTCGCCCCCCGGCACGCGCCCCCGACAGCCGCCGCCCCGCGCGGGCGACAAGGCACGGGCGCGCGCGTGCGGGCGCGCGCGTGCGGGCGTGCGCGGGGCGACGGCGTGTGCGCTGTG